AGTTAAAAAAAAAAAAAAAAATGCGAAATGCAATTTTTCCTCATCCCAAATTATGGTACAATTAACGTTTAATTCGCTTTTGGATAATTTTTGTACGAAAAATGTTACGTTGTCAATTTAGTGTACAATTAGCTGGTGGCTTGGTTCAAATATTGAACAACGTAATGAATAGCTTGCTTCAAATATTGGATCAACACGTGACCTTGAATATGTCTGTATATAAAAAGGAAAAATCTAATGAGAGCATTGTTTTATGGGAAAATTCTACAGGTTCATTACGAAACTATTCTATCGGGGTCTGTAACCGTTAAATTATCATATAACTGTCGATGATAGTTAATTTAACGGTTACAAATCTGACGAACCGTGATGTAGCATTTGCTTTGTTTTATGTAAGATAAAATATACCATATCTCTCAAAATGATTAGACAGCAAAAAAAAAAAGAAAAAAAAAAAAAGTAATTCGATTGACCTGAATTAATGATGTGGCTCGGGGCTCCGGGCCCAGGTAATAAATTGAATTGAAATATAAGTTGTTGATGGGATACATATTATTTTAAAGAAAAAAAAAATGATTGGAAAATGAATAAGAGTAGCATTTTTGTTTTAAATTTTTGTTTGTGAAAAAATGAAAAAATTTGAGATTATGAATGAGTATGGAATAAAATTTAAATAATAAAGCTAAGGTGATAGAAAAAAATGTAAAATAATGAACGAAAACGATTGGTAATTAAAACTTAAAAATATATCTATATATATATAATTGCTAGCTAATCATTAAATAAAACCTCATAAATAAAACCTATTTAATTTTACTTAATAAATTATACCTAATAAATACTACAACCTTCCATATAGAATGAACGTTACTTTTACAATTATGAATTATTATTGTACATTTATGATTATATATTGTAACGTTTCATTCTTTTAAATGGTATTTTCATCTTTATATTTTCTTTTATGACATCTAATAAAAACTAACTAGTACAGAGCCCGTGCGATGCACGGGATGCACAATTTTAAGGTCATTTATCCATTCTTATAATTATAGAAATGAATAAAAAAATGTACGGGATATATATAGTACGTGACCTGTAATAGGCCAAAATGTGAACACGGGTGATACACGAGGTGCACAATTTTAAGGTCATTTATTAGTACAGAGCCCGTGCGATGCACGGGGTGCACAATTTTCTAGTATGTGTAATAAAAATACATACCGTATGCACGGGACAGAAGCACTAGATGAGTCATTTCCATAGAGCTTGTCCGTTAAGGTAGCTCCTGAACACGGGTGCACAATTTGTAGTACGTACCATAAAATCAGAACAGATTTCCATACAATTAGATAATAAATTAGATAATAAATAAAACCTTTTTATTTTAGTAAAGATTTTACGTACTTTGTTTTTTTTACTTATCGGATGTTATGAGATTTTTTTGTTAAATCGATTTTATGGAATATAATACAAATACAATTAGAGGATTGAACAAAATCAGAACAGATTTTCATACAATTAGATAATAAAAAAATTAGATAAGGAAAAGAAGGAATTAGATAAGGAATTTTGAATTTGACTTTTTTTTTTGGATAGATAGACTTTACGTACAAATTTTGACTTCACTGATTTTTTGAGATTTATTTGGACAAAATCAATGTTAATATGGAATAAGACAAATAAATAGTCTTTATTTTAGTAAAGATTTTACGTCTTTTTTTTTTACTTGTCAGATGTTATGGGATTTTTATTTCTTAAACTGATTTTATGGGATATAAGACAAATAAATAAAATAATTAAATAATATTTTGGATAGAAATAGCAATGCATTAATTACGTTGACTTTTCAATCTACTAAATT